TGTGCAGGACGTTCATTTACTTGTTGTCCCCGGCCCCAAGGATGTCCGAATAGCCTCAACCAGGGCCTTTTCTGCCCTGGCCCCAGCCTGGTGGAACAAGCTCCTACTGGAGATCAGGGTCCTGAGGAATTTATTACAATTCCGCAGGGCCTGTATAATGGAGCTGTTCTGCTGGGTTTTCGGCTGAGGCGCGGACATCCCAAACCCATCTCTGGCCTCCCCTACTGAAATCGCTGCCTCTATGGATCAACCTAAACTGAGCGTAGCAACACGAACCTCGACTGCTGTTTCCACTACTGTGTTACGTTACTGTTTTAATTATTTCAACTATCGTTGTCGAGATGTTGTGACTTTGTCACCCGCCCTGAGCCCGTCCACAGTGAGGGTGGGGGGGAAATCAAATTAAACAGACAAACAGGGCTTAAAATCCCCACTCTGCCCTGACGCTCCCTGGGCGACTTTGAGCCAGTCATATTCTCTCAGCCTAACCTATCTTGCAGGGCTGTTGTGGAGGTAAATCAGAGAGGAGAGCTACGCGCACCAGGCCGGGAGGTAAAAGGGGAGAGCTGATGGTCAGTCGCTAGGCTAAGCTGAGTTAGAGTGAGCTAGCTCACAGTTTTTTATCCTCCAGCTCACACATTTTTGTCTCCGCTCAGGAAGGATGGCTCCAGAGCACATTTTCCTTTGGATGGTGCTGTGAGTGGCTTACTTAATGACCGGGTCAGTTCCTGGCTAAGGGGGTGTTTGAGCCCGGGACTTGCTGCTTCCGCATTCTTGGCCTCTGAGCTCTGTCGGTGCTGACTCCCAGCTAGTCTTCTCTCTCTGCCTACCAAAGATTTTTTTGGTACCCAAGAAGCCCTTTTTAGCTGCTCCTCAGCCTCATCACTTTGCCTCTTCCAGGTGCTGGGAAATGAGGCACCTGTTAGAAACTTGGCTGGCATAAAACAAAAGTGCCCCCTCACTGATAAGGCAAGGTTCTCTCAGCCGGCACTTCACAACCAAACTGTCAGTAAAAAGGTAAAGGTTCCCTTGCTCGAAAGCCAGTCGAATCCGACTCTAGGGTTGCGGTGCTCATCTCCGTTTCAAAGCCGAAGAGCCAGCGCTGTCCGAAGACGTTTCCGCGGTCATGTGGCCGGCATGACTAAACACTAAGGCACACGGAACGCTGTTACCTTCCCACCGAAGTTGTCCCTATTTATCTACTTGCAATGTCTTGCTTTCAAACTGCTAGGTTGGCAGGAGCTGGAATTAGAGATGGGAGCTCACTCCATCATGCGGCACACTCGGGTCTCGAACTGCTGAACTACTGACCTTCCACAGCCTGCAGTTCAGTGTCTTAACCACTTGAGCCACCGCAGTACCAGAATCTTAACCTGCTGTTTGCTGTGCCTTATAGGTTTGTTTTGATATTTTGGGATATCGACGCCAATAAATTACCTCAGGCTGGGTTCGGCTTATACACTCTGAACCGGAAGCCGAAAGGGAAGTCACGTCCACCCTAGCAAGGTCAGAGTCTGAGGGCAAGAAAATTATCACAGGAATGAGGGCAAGAAAATTATCACAGGAATGCTAGCAGAGTTGGGTTTGCCTCTGAAGAGAGACGTTTTCCACATTTTGTGAAAGAGTCTTCAAGAGCGTGAGAGGTTGTGATCATTATTGACCTCACCCGGTAACGAACGTGAGGTAAATGCCTTGGAATCTGGGTTGTTCAAACATGTCCTCAGTTACAGCTACCTGGCTGCTCTTCAACACCTGACCTGTGAAAACTTATACCACAGAGAAACCTTGGTTTTACGCTACTCCTGTTCGGTTAAGTAAGAGGGTGATGGACATCGCAGCGAACGGGGCTCCTCTCCTCTCTCGCCACTCATTCAGGAGAAAAACACACAACTGGAGTGTGCCTTATGCAAACTCGGCTGACGCAAAGCGCGTCTCCTCAGCAGCTGTGCAAACGGAATGGCTCCCCAGGCCGAAAGGGTTTGCTCAGATGCTTTGGCAGCTCGACACGAAGCGCGTTTCCTCGGGAATCACCGACACGAGGAGAAATTACTTCAAAGTAAGCCTCCTTTTTCAGCGCACGGCAGAAGCCACGATGCGGTCTGACATTTCACGGTGCCACCAGAGAGGCTGTTGGGAGGCGGGGGTGATTAAAATGTCAGCCCACATCGAGCCGTTTGGAAGGGCGGAGAGACAAGTCTGCAATTGCTTCCCCGTCTGACCCTATTGGGCCCACATTCCTTCAAACCACATTTCAACTCACTTTCCAGGTTCTACAAACCGGCTTTTCAACCTTTCCTCCAATATCATAATTTGCCGGACAAAACCGCCCCCTAAATCTAGGTATCCTGAAGTGCTGGACCACTGTGCTTCCTTACGATGACAAAGTAGCAGAAGATTTCGTTTGTAGAAAGAAAACCCATGCTCTAAATGTTCTGTTTTTCTTTGCTAACTAGGTTACATCTCCTTACCAATTAACCTCTTTGTATTACACCCCTACTGAGTGACCATCGGAGATGCCTGTCCACCTGGGAAGGCCATGAAATTTCTAGCCAATTTGCTACTTGCATTGTGGCGATTGTGACACCAGTAAGGGGGATCCAACCATCCTCCAAGAATCCATCCTCCGGCCTAAGAAGCCCTCATCCATCTTAAGCCAGTGTGGTGTAGTGGTTAAGAGCGGTGGACTCAAATCTGGGAAACAGGGTTTGATTCCCCACTCGTCCACCTGAAGCCTGCTGGGTGACCTTGGGCCAGTCCTAGTCCTCTCAGACCCACCTACCTCACAAGGTGCCTGTTGTGGGGAGAGGAAGAGAAGGAGATTGTAAGCCTCTTTGAGACTCCTTAAGGTAGAGAAGAGTAGGCTATCAAAACCTACTTTTCTTCTTCAGAGATACTTCTTCCAGTGGAAGAGCCACTTAACTTGGAGGAAGGCCTCAAATTTGAGCCAAAAGGGAAGGTGGAGCGTAAATATTTAAATAAATAAATATGAGTACAGTCCACCCCAGTGCCAGTATCTGCCAGGAATATGTGGCCCTCTTGCAGAAACTCTTCATGTAATTGGGCCGGTGCAGCAGAAGAAAGTTTGTTGTCGAAGGCTTGACACAGAGAGTACTCCATCTTTCTGTGTTATACCTCTGCGGATGCCAGACACAGCTGCTGGCGAAACGTCAGGTCCTACAATGCCAAGACCATGGCAATACAGCCCTGAAAATCTACAACAACTAAAGAAGAAAGTTTCTCTGTAGGTGTTCCCAGATGACATGTCTTGGGTGAAAATTTGGGCATGGGCAGGAACGAGCACACTCATGCCTCACCTATGCGCAAGATTGCCTGAAGACAGCTAACATCTATGCCCTACCCATCAACCATCAATGTTCACTGCATTATAAAACATTTTGAACTTCTTTTCCTTCCTACTTCATCCTCTCATTTCCTTTTGTACCACATCTGTGGGATTTTAGACTGTTATTTTAAATCATCGACTTCTTTGAGAAGGTGGGCAGATAAAACGGCATATAAACAGAACAAACAGATAACGGATATCAAAACGGGTAGTGGCAAGAGAGCTCAAGCTTTGAGTTGACGGAAGTATATCTTTTGTAAATTAGGACACTTACCTGAAGCAGCAGAGGAATCGTAGGAACTCCTGTCCCTCCTACTCGTCCTGAAAGTCTGAAGGTCCTTCTCCCTGTAGGTCCCGAATCCTTCAAAACTCCTCCTTTTGCTACTGCTCCCGTCATTGTCCCGCTTTTCGCTCAACGAACTGATCTCGCCGAACACGTCCAGAGACTCAGACCTTGCACTCCAGAGTACCTCTTCATGCACGAGTCGACGGGGTCATTGCCGGAATCGCCCTTATCCTTGCTTGGTGCCCACTGCTGGGTGTCAGAGAGAGACAACGAAGACAAGGTGTCCACTTCAAAGTTGCTCTTGGAGCTTTTGTGCCCCGTTTCGCAATGCTGGTGCTTCTGCTTCTCTTTATGCTTGCTCTTCTCGGTCAGCAGAGAGAGGTCTTTATCCGAGACGCTTAACCTTTCACTGACTGAATGGCTGGAGAAGCCGGCGGACTTGCTAGCAAAGAGACTGCTCAGGTCATCGTGAGCCCCCAGTATCCGCTCGTCCTTGTGTTTGTGCTTATGCTTGTGTTTCCTTTTGTGAAGCCGGCCGCTGGGCATGCTCGGCCCCGAAACCTTTGGAGACGTCAGCGATGAATGCACGTCCCCAAGGCCCATCCCGACGGGGGTCTGCAGATGAACGCCATGCTTCACTTTATGCTTGGCAGTATTGGGCATCTTCATGTGAGAGCTTGTGTGGAACTGGGGAGGGGGCACAGTAGGCCTCATAAATGGAGAAGCGGCTCCGAGTGTGTGGGACAGGTACAAAGGAGCTGGGTACTGACCATAGTAACCAAGATTCATCATAGGCATTGATGTGTAAGGCATTCCATAGGGTGCATAGTAACTCCCACTGGGAATAGGGTAACCAAACCCCTGTAAAAAAGGCACCTTTGTCATGGTGTCATTGGTTTTGGCAGGTCTACCACGCTTCTTCTTAGACTTCAGGTCGGAGGTCCTGCGAAGATACAGCAATGGGTCATACTGGATATATGGCACAGGGTAATAGTGATCAAAGTTGATCCTGAAAATGCTGGGGTACGGGTTTTCGTGATAAAACGTGTAGCTCCTGTGGGAAATCCTGAACACTTGGAACTTGCTGATGAGTTCTTCCAGGTCTGCGAGGAACTGGAGGTCGTCTCTGTTCTGCAGGTTCTTCCTCTTCCTCTTGTGCTTTGGTTTTTTCATGGTCTCGTGAGAGAGAAAGTTATCGACAATGAGATGCTTCTGCCGGTGGCTGTGTCTGTTCTTAGTGCTGGTGTCCGACTGAACCGCCTCTGGATTGTCCAGGCTGCAGAAGTCGAACGAGTACCTTCTGCGAGATTCTGAAGTCTTCTCTGCTTGGTCAGACGTACTGTTGTTGTCCGTTCCAATCCCACTATCACTTGGTATGGTTTCCTCGCTGTGGGATTCGCTCACTGGTGAGAGCGTGACTTCCTTCAGGGAACCTATATCACAAAGGTGGGAAGGAGAATTTGCCATTAGCCTGGGTGGGGACAATTTCCAAGTCCCGCTATGTATCCCTTTCTGGGTTTTTGTGGGAAGAGCGCTGATGGGCTGTAGATTTGGCATAGTTTTCAGTTCTGAAAAATTTGTTTCAGTGCTGGCAGGGCTAAGGTTGCCGTTAGACCCCACTAACTGCGTCGAAAGCGGATGAACAGCTGCTGGTGACGGTGTCCCAAGTGAATGCAAGTGGGAAGGCACTGCTGGGTTTTCTGGCTGGCTGGAAACAGGCCTCAAATGTTTGATGGCTGTCTTCGGTTCTTCCAACGGGGGCTGCAACTCAGACCGTGGCTTTCTTCCCCTTTTCTTGCCAATGTAGATTGTCCCCCTCTTGCTCACATTTATTTGCTTCCCTAGTCGGGCATCAATGGTCGGAGTAGTCCCCGTACTAGCTGGTGGCTGTGTTTTCACTTTCAAAGCTATGTTGCTCGAGCAGGATAAGATCTGGCTCAAAAGATTCTTCCTCTTGAGGGTCTTCATTTTGTTGATGGTCTTTATGGTCTTCTTATCCAACACACCGAGCTTGCCGACCTTTTTGTGAAATTTCAGCTCGCTGATAGATTTATCCTCTCCTGGAGCCATCTGGGCCAACTTTGCCAAGTTTCGTCTCCTCTTTCTCTTTTTCGTACCAGGGAATTCTCGGTTGATTGGACTGACTGGGCTGGTGGATGTTCCTTCGTGGATGGTTTCGACAGTGAGTAAAGGCTGCTTCTTTGGTCGCCCCCTCTTCTTCTTGATGGGAGTAATCACAGTAAGACTGTCTGTATTGGTATACAGAGGACTAGACGGGGTTATGGGATATGCTGATGGAGGTTCTACCATCAGTTTCTCAGAGGGGCCTAGGGGAGGTTCCCGGAGCATATTTTTAGGTTTGCTGCAAGTCCATCTTCGTTTGGCGGCAAACTTTGGATGTTGAACCTCTGACTGTTTGCTGGGTGCAGGAGTATCAATGGCCAGCGAAGCAGGCATCACAGTCGTGGACTTTCGGAGCCTGGTGGCATTGGATGCAGGAGATCTATGAGCGACCTCATTATTTTCCACTGGCACTAATGGAGACTCACTTTCTGGAGCTTTTCCTTGTTTTGCGACTCGCGGATCTTTCTTGCATACCTCTGTTTGTGAGTTAGTCCTGCTGGCTACATCATTGCTCACAGGGTGTCCGGAAGGTGAGGCTTTCTCTGGGACATTCTTGTCAACAGCAGTCTTGGGGGACTGCCGTTTCTTCCTTTTGTGGCTAGGCAGCTCCACTGTTGGAGTCTTGATTGGTAGAGTAATTCGCATGCGACTGGAGTCGCTTTCGGAACTGTTGGCGGAGTTTGGGCTTTGCCTAATGGGCGATGGTTTGGTTGCACCGGATTCCTTTTTCCCTTCCATACTGTCGTGAGTTTTGGCCTCAAAGGACTTCTGAGTATTCTTCACCCATTCCATGTCTGTGTGTTGGACGGTTTGATTGATTAAATCTTTTTTACTGGACTTTTTCTTTGTGCTGCCACTGGGTGGATCAGAAGCCTCCATCTGTCCCCCTCCCTCTTGACTCAACAGTGGCAAAAAACCATTGCAATCTGATGGATTAGCAGACTGGGAAGTCGCACCAAGGGCACTGGATCCCGGGACTGCGCTGCACACAGTATGGTCTTTGTTATTACTGGTGGCCAACTGACCCCATGTGTTGCTGGCGTTAGATTTCTTAGACTGGGATTTGCTGAAAGACACAGTGGTCTCCGAGGCAGGGATCTTGGCGGAGCCGCTGGCTTCTCGACTCGGCTCGGGGTCAATGAAGCAGGTTTGGGAAGCCGAACCAGATTCGGAGCTCGCCGGCCAGTCGAGATGATGCTGGTTGTTGCTTTTTTGCTGGTGCCTTGATTTTAAGGTGTCACTGGTGAAGTCCTGCTGGTGCTCTGGATCATAATGCGCAGCAGCATGCTTTTGCAGCCGGTCATAAACCTGCAAAGAGGGGAGGAGAAAGGGAAAACGTCATCGCAAAGTCCTTTCTAGCATGATGCAGCAAAATTAGGGAACGCAATGAATAGCATTTGTCCCACCGTAACCCCCCTGCTTTTTGTATCGGCTGGTGTGCTATTGGTCAATAAGGGAAGGACAGAAAAGGGGAAAGCTGGGAAGACAGGGAGCAATGCTGTCACTGCTGTGATAATAACTGACTAGATCCCAGGGTCTACTCCACATTGCATGTGTGGAGCCTCTCTTGCTTGGCCGGAACACATGCATTTACGATTACGTGTGACTTCCCCATGTTATGGTTTTGCCCAGTCTGCTCCCCAATCACTCACACGGCAAAAATAGTACTGTAGAAAATGTTTTTATCCGTGCCCACTCATGTATTCTACCATGTTCTACCAACCGATCTGGTAAACACGATATTCTGAATCCTGTCCACTTTATTTTTCAACTCCCATTACCTTTCACTCACCAGGAGACAGCATTTTCACAACCGACTGCAATAACTTTGGTACAGGGCTCAAGAGCCACTGTGGTATAGTCCCAACCTCCCCAAAAGTTTTCAGGACAGGTAACTTATATTTGCTTACTGTACGACAGTACCGAACAAGTGAATGATGCCGGGAGATTGTAGTTTGGATCTACAGACAATATGCTATTAGAAGAGGGGTGACCCCCTTTCTTGTTGCTACCCTGAGGCTCACATGACTTATCCTCTGCAGGGGTTACCCCACAATGCTTTTTACAGGGTCAAGAAGGCTGCTGGGAAAAGCCAGAAGACAATCTGTAGAATCAAAATCACTGATTTTCCTACTGTCACCCATTAAAGATGGGCAATGCTTTTTACAGGGTCAAGAAAGCTGCTGGGAAAAGCAAAGACAGGGAAAGGTCAAGCTTTTGCCAGAAGACAATCCGTAGAATCAAAATCACGGATTTTCCTACTGTCACCCATTAAAGATGGGAGGGGCTGTGGCTCAGTGGTAGAGCATCTGCTTGGCATGCAGAAGGTCCCAGGTTCAATTCCCAGTATCTCATAGAGTCACAGAGTTGGAAGGGGCCATACAGACTATCTAGTCCAACCCCCTGCCCAATGCAGGACCTGCCTAAAGCATCTCCAGTTAAAAGATCTGGAAGACGGTGATGTGAAAGACCTCTGCCTGAGACCTTAGAGAGCCACTGCCAACCTGAGCAGACAATTCTGACTTTGATGGACAAGGGTCAGATTCCGTATAAGGCAGTTTCATGTGTTGATGTGTTCGAGATGCAGTCAAGTAAAGTTTTGAAATTTGGCTCCCTGAGTATTCTATAGCATCCACCATGGTGGCTCTTTGACCTTTAGGTTTAAAACTGGATTTCCAAATCCCCATTATTTTCAATCCTAGCTCCTTTCCTGTTGTTGTGGATCAGTGATTCCAAATGTGATATTTGAGGGGGTACCATAGTGGCTGCTGATGTGTTCCCTGGCACCCACTAGCTTCTTCCCCAAACTAAAGTGTCAGTCCAGGTTTTCCTCCCATTTGGAAGCAGCTGTTTCTATCACAGGAAGATGCTTGGCTTGCAAACTCCGAATGTTTTGCGCCTAGACCAGTTCCCGAGCAGTCCTTTCATTGCACTTCTTCACCCAAAGAGTGATTAACTCTTGGAATTCACTGCCACAGGAAGTGGTGGCGGCTACAAGCATGGACGGCTTCAAAAGGGAATTAGATAAGCGTATGGAGCAGAGGTCCATCAGTGGCTATTAGCCGCAAGGTATAGATAGGGACTCTGGGGCAAGTGATGCTCTGTCATCTTGGTGCTTGGGGGGGTCAACAGTGGGAGGGCTTCTAGTGTCCTGGCCCCACTGGTGGACCTCCTGATGGCACTGGTATTTCTGGCCACTGTGTGATACAGAGTGTTGGACTGGATGGGCCTTTGGCCCGATCCAACATTGGCATCTCTTATGTTCTCTTATGTTCTTATGTTATACATTCTAACTGCTGTCAACATTCTCAAGTGCCCAGAGGTTCAACAACATTAGGAACTCCTGGTCTAAACCAGACATTCTGAATTGATACCTCGGGCACCGAATTCTAGTCCTCAGCTAGACCATCATTTTGTGTACGCCCGGCTCCTTTCTGATTTCACGTTGCTCCGAATTCCCCGCACGTTACTATGCGAGAGTGGCACATTGTGGAAGAATCCTTCCATGTGCTTCCCTGCTGCATGGTAACCACAGATCACGTGGGCCCAGGGCAGGCTGAGTTTCATTAGCTGTTAACTGATATGCACAGACTGTTTATTCAAAAGGACGGGCAAAGCAAGCTGAAATTAATGCACTCGGAGTGTATTTTGCTCCCAGTGTATCCACCTGGATGGCTGCCTGATCCCCCACGGCTCCTAACGCTTTGGCTTCGGTTCACACTGCTGGATGAGCTGTACGGTCTCGGGGCAGCAAAAAGAGCAAACACAACACAATGGCCAAACTTATGGGAGAGAGGAAACAAGGGGAAGGGGGGGGGGCGACAACTGCCTAAAACCAAATTAAACCAACCAGCTCTTGGGTTCAAGGTCCAGACAAGCTATACAGATGCCACAGCTGCCGGTGTAACTGAGGTTCGACTCCAGTAGCAACTTAGAGACCAACTAGATTTCAAGGGTCTGAGATTTAGAGAGTCAAAGGTCCCTTTGATTCATAAGAGCTCATACTCCAGAAATCTAGTTGGTCTCTAAGGTGCTACCAGACTCAAATCTAGCTGATGGAACCAAATGGCCAAAAAGACTAATGACAAACCAGGAAATCACCATTCAAATCCCATCTTATCTATGGCCTTGCTTCAGAGAAGCCCCCAGCCCAGGTGCGTCAAACATTTGGCCCGGGGGCCGGATTAGGCCCCTGGAGGGCTTCCATCAGGCCCGCAGTGGAACTGGCCATCTCCTGCTTCCAGTTCTGCTGCTGCATCAGACGTGTTTGGTTTCCTTAACTTTCCCCCCCAATATTGTTGCATTGTAATGCAACCAAACTACGCTTAAAATAAAAAGAGAAATAAAGAAAATGGGGGCGGGAATGCAACTACATGGCTGTCAGGAGGAGCGACTGGATCCCACAATTGATGCAGAACACCAGGAGCGGGGCAACTGTTGAAAACTGTTGACCAAAATGCAAGGATTACGCTCTACAGCGGAAACGGTGCAGAAAACCCAGACAGCCTACAGAATTGAACTCCCTTTTTGGGTTGGAGAGAACAGAAATACGGTGAACCCATTTAATCTAAGTCCAAGATCTTATCCTGCTGACCTAGAAGGAGGAGAAGAGATTGGATTCATACCCCGCCCTTCACTCGGCGTCTCAGAGCGGCTTACAATCTCCTTTCCCTTCCCCTCCCCACAACAGACACCCTGTGAGGTAGGTGGGGCTGAGAGAGCTCTTTCGAGGACTGCTCATGAGAGAACAGCTCTGAGAGAACTTGTGACGGACCCAAAGTCACGCCAGCAGCTGCATGTGGAGGAGTGGGGAGTCCCAACAACAGCACGTTATACCCTCCAGGCAGAATTTTCTGGATTCAGCTCTGGCTGCTGGAAGTTTTGGCAGTGAGCTCTCCCCAAGGAAAACCAAGATGCAAGCACATCACATCAGTGGGTGACTTCTGCCCAACGTGTCTATGTAAAGTGTGGCCACGTCACAGCCAACTTAGAGTGGCCCCACCAAGGAGATTTCAAGGGGAGTGAAAAGCAGAGGTGGTTTGCCGCTGTCTTCCTCTGCAGAGTCTTCCTCCCTTCCAAGTACCGACTCCGTTTAGCGTCCGAGATCTGACGAGGTTGGGCTATACCATGCTGCCTTCTACAACGTCGCTAAAGGTAGGCAGGGCTAAAGCAGCGGGGACAGCCAAACCACTTTACTCGACCAACTTGCCCCAGGCTGCATGCCCAAATGGCGGCTTGATGGGAGCCCAAACCGAGATGGACTTGGATTGTGATGTTATTAGGGATTTCACAATACAAGGAAGTACTTCTTCACCCAAAGAGTGATTAACACATGGAATTCACTGCCACAGGAGGTGACGGCTTCAACAGGGAATTGGATAAGCATATGGAGCAGAGGTCCATCTGTGGCTATTAGCTAGAAGGTACAGATAGGAACTCTCAGTCTAGGGCAAGTGATGCTCTGTAGTCTTGGTGCTTGGGGGGGCGCAACATTGGGAGGGCTTCTAGTGTCCTGGCCCCACTGGTGGACCTCCTGATGGCACCTGGTGTTTTTGGCCACTGTGTGACACAGAGTGTTGGACTGGATGGGCCGCTGGCCTGATCCAGCATTGGCTTCTCTTATGTTCTTATGTTCTTTCTGCTTGGGTGGCAACAGTGGGAGGGCTTCCAGTGTCCCGGCCCCACTGCTGGACCTCCTGACGGCACCTGGTATTTTGGGCCACTGTGTGACAGAGTGTTGGACTGGATGGGTCACTGGCCTGATCCAACATTGGCTTCTCTTACGTTCTCTTATGTTCTTATGTCCCCAAACGTGTTTGGTTTCCTTAACTTCCCCCCCAGTATTGTTGCATTGTAACGCAACCAAACTACACTTAAAATAAAAAGAGAAATAAAGAAAATGGGGCGGGAATACAACTACATGACAGGAGGAGTGACCATATCCCACAATTGATGCAGAACACCAGGAGTGGGGCAACTGTTGAAAACTGTTGACCAAAATGCAAGGATTACGCTCTACAGCGGAAACGGTGCAGAAAACCCAGAGCTACGGATCGAGCTCCAAATCGCCGGGAAACGGAGGCAAGTTTTTAATGCGTAAATCATCTAAATGTTGTGAATGAATGGAAATATTCAAGTATGGGCTTAGATTTCAAGCTTCGCAGAAGGGGTAGAGTCATCTGGTCAGAGGTGGCCATAGGACAAGTCCAAGGTTGCTAAATGCAAATTAATGTTTTTAATAATTGTGCAAAAGAGGGAATCCTAACAGGGGAAGGTGTCCACATTCCTTGAGATACGCAGGGCCCACT